AAGGAATTAATCTCAGGAAATGCAGATTTTAGCAACTCATTATATTCACTGTTTCTTTTGAGGGACAAAAAAGAAAAGAAAAAAAAATGGCTGAAGTCAATAAAAATTTATATCTTGATTCTAAAAATTCCAGACATATGTAATTAGGTGTCAGCTGATTAGAAGACAGAAAGAAGGAGGGAGAGAGAGAGAGAGAGAGAGAGAGAGAGAGAGAGAGAGAGAGAGAGAAAGAGAGAAAGAAGAGAAAGAGAAAGAGAAAGAGAAAGAGAAAGAGAAAGAGAGAAGAAGAGAGAAGGAGAAAGGGAGGGAGGATGGAAGAGGTGGAGAGGAATGAAGGGAGGTAGGGAGACAGCGAGAGAGAGAGAGAAAAAAAGAGAAAAAAGGACATTCACACATGTAAAAGAACATATCCAAATATTGCAAGCCAGTGTCAGTAAGCACCAAAGACCTCGCTTAACAAAATAAATAAATGAATAAATAAAAATAAATAAATAAATAAATAAATAAATACATAATAATAATCACAGACAATAATGCACAATATAACACCATCTTTTGTCCAAAGTTTTCAAAAGATTATGCTGAGCGAGAACTGACTCTGTTTGTGGTCTTTCATTTCAGCACAGTTCATCAACAGCTTCTGTAAACCTACTAAGTCTTGTTTACAAACTAATATACTCTTACTTATACCGTTTGTTTTGGTTCTTCTTTGATATTATAGTTGAATATCTACTTATTGCATTTAGTACTTTGAATGCGTGTAAACTGAGTTATTTTGAGTACATGGCATTTTGATTTTTTTTTTTAATACATAACTAATATCCATTTTAATCTATTTCGCTTGAGATGGAAGTCCTGGTAAATACCTTTATCTTTAATATTTGAGAATGCATGAGGAAACATTTTGCAAAAGTGAATAAAATGTGAATGTTCAGATAACATTTATAAACCTTGTGCGAAATCCCCATATATATTTTTTTTTTTTCATTGATATGATTTAACTCTGAAAAAATCCCGGTTTCTCTCTATTTTTGTCCTCTTATGCGAACAATCATTTGTGAATGTATAATAAACTGAAATAGTTTTACTGCAGTTAATATGGCTTAAAATATTTTGATTTGTCAACCCGGGATCTCACCTCGCTATAGACCTCCCTCATGCCCCATAATGAGTCACTGACTTGAAGAACAAATGAGGATACTAATTCATAATGTAACATTACCCCCAACATTACCATCACCATCATTACCACACGTCAAAATAGGTACCTCACTGAACCTTTTGACAAAACCTACAAATACTACAATAAGACACGGAAACCTACAGTTCTACAGTAGCCAACAATCGACTAACATAATTCGGTCGTTCTTGTTTGGTCTACGCACTTATTCCGGAAGACACGTGGAGACTCACCTGTACGGTAGAGGAACCGCACTTATGTGTCTTGAGAAACATGACGTGGCGTTGTGGAGGACACGTGGAAGACATCTCGAGTGGAGTGGGATCCGCCTCCTCCACGCTGGTCAGGACACTGGTTGGAGAAAGGGAATCGTTGTTCATAAGGATAGGATCCCGAAATCACTAACGTTTCAGTTTTTATTTTATTATTATTATTATTATTATTATTATTATTTTTTTTTTTTTTAGCATTCCACACGCCCTTATAAAGTTTAGAAAAGAGTTGTTTTTTCTTATTTTCAGATAAGAAAAATCGTGGCAATACTAAATATGTTGTTTTGGTTTTTAGTTACAAGGAACACGTTGTAAAAAAAAACATACAACAGATAAAATGGAAAAATTGCCTGACATTTAAAGATTGACCCAATTTTTGTAAGAAATCTATGGTTTTAACGAATGCTATATATATACAACTTTCCATAAATCAAATACTTAGTCATATTTCATTTCGAATTGAAAAATCTTGAAATAAGAAAAGAAAAAAGAAAAACTATCGAAGTGATATCATTTTCTCTCGGTTTTTGGAATAAACTTTAACTTCATTATACATATTAAATGTTTTTTTTTTTTTTTTAATTATTATTACATTTTCTTACATCCATTTCATAAAGCTAATAAAATCTTCTGTCACCGCAACTCTTATTATCTTTACCTTTTTTAACTTTAATTTGCATTAATAAGCATGCTTGACAAGTTTCTGTAAACCTACCAAGTCTTGTTTAAAAGCTCTAATATACTCTTATACCGTTTGTTTGGGTTTTTCTTTGATATTATAGTTGAATATCTACTTATTGCATTTAGTACTTTGAATGTGTGTAAACTTATTTTGAGTACATGGCAAATTTGTTTTTTTATATATAATATCCATTTAACTATTAATCTATTTCGCTTGAGATGGAAGTCCTGGTAAATGCCTTTCATCATTGATAATTGAGATTACACGAGGAAACATTTTGCAAAGGTGAATAAAATGTGAAAGTAATGTTCAGACACCAGCGTATGGCGGATACCATTCCATCGCCATAACTTCACTGCCATCCATTACTTCACCCCGGTTCTCGCCTCACGGACCATTTTTTTTTCTCTCTCTCAAGACGTAAATCTGAGATCAAACTATTCCTTGGGAGAGATCACCGATTTTTACCCGCAGAAGAAGAGGAGGGCGACGCAAGCGCAGCCGAGAGCCACCAGGCATTTCGCGGCAGAATGGAGCGGCGGTCGAAGCCAGATCTGAAAGTTACGATTATGAATATCGTCGAAATTTCTGAAAATTGCGATAGATATTATCAAGATTTCTGAATATTGTTAATATCATAAAGATTTCTGAATATTAATATCATAAAAAAGATTCTGAATATTAATATCATAAAATTTCTGGATTTAATATCATAAAAGATTTCTGGATATTAATATCATAAAAGATTTCTGGATATTGTTAATATCATAAAAGATTTTTGAAAATTTTTAATATCGTCGAAATTTCTGAAAATTGCGAACGTAAAAAAGAAGAAGAAGAAGAAAAAAAAACGGTAGGTTGTGGATATCATCAAGATTTCTGAAAATTGGTAATATCATAAAAGATTTCTGAATATTGTTAATATCATAAAAGATTTTGAATATTGTAATATCATAAAATATTTCTGAAAATTGCGAACATCAAAAAGATTATTAGTAGATTGTGGATATCATCAAGATTTCTGAAAATATCTGAAGATTGTGAATATTATGATTTCTGAAAGTTGTAAATCATAGAAGATTTCTGGAAATTGTAAATCATAAAAGATTTCTGAAAATTGTAAATCATAGAAGATTTCCGAGGATTGTGAATATTATGAAGATTTCTGAAAATTGTGAAGATTAATAAGAAGGTTTGTGTTGGCTGTGAAGATCATGAGGGTCTGTGAAGATTGCGCAGATCATGAAGGTTTTTGAAGACATTTAATCCTGAAAAAATATGAAAGTCTGTGGACACTTCTGAAGTTTATGAAGAACTTGGAGGTTTAAGTTACCGAGAGCGACGCACAGAGATAGAGGGAAATGGACACCGGTTTCTGATCGTCACAGACAAAGCGGGTACAGCCACAGCGGCCTCCTGTTCGCCGCGAAATGAAGAGAACATCCGCCTCATATCGCCGCCCAGAAGCACCCACAGCGCCCTCACACAGCCAGAGTTCTAAACTTAAACTAACCTAACCTAACCTAGCTTGACCCGAGCTAACCAAACCTAATCCAACCTAAACTAACCCTTTAACGAGAAGCAACTTTTTTCTGAGAACGTTAATGGAAATATTTACCTTACAATAATGTAAAAAAAGATGTACAGAGCATGTTTTATTTGATACAAAAACATTACATTGATTTATACGAAGTACTGCTCCAAGGGAAACCCGCCACGTGTTAATTTCCCAATGATTAAAATCTATATCAACGTGTCCCTTCTATCCGCAGAACCGATATCGACGATTTTGGTATCGTTGGATTCCTCTCACTCTCCACATTGCAAATATATAATTTTTATTGCGCGGAAACCCCCGTTAGCGACAAAGGTTCCAGGGAAAATGCGCGGTTTAATAGCACTAATAATATAAAGCACAGTGAAAATAACCCCTCTGGGGAGGCTGCGGCCCCCCAACCCCCGCCGAGGACACAAAACCACCACGTATTCCCGGCAGGCTAAAGCGTTACACAGTTATCGGCGATCTCGGAGCGGCGGACGTATTGCATTTACCTCGTAACATTCCCACTGAATGAGCATACTAACCTTGACATAGTCAGCATTGTATACAGACGATTGTAGTATAATCAGGATGAACAAGGTATACCATGAACAGAAGAGCGGCGGTGACCCGCCCTCATCGGGTCGGCGGGATTTGCGCCTCTTTCCATGCATCTAGTTCGGTTTTGTTTCCTCGGCGGGGGTTGGGGGCGGCAGCCCCCCCCCCCCAGGGTGGGTCGCAGGGGGCGCAGCCCCCTGCAATGGAAAGTCATGTGAATAACCATGATTATTTTCACTGTGAGGTTATATTGTTAGGGTAATTTTATACATTAAGTCCGCCTCTCCGACATTGTTGCCCCCACTATCGGGGCCAAGTTTGTCGCTAACGGGGGGTTTCCGCGCAATAAAACCTACATATTTGCATTGTATAGAGTGAGAGGAATGCAACGATACCAAAATCGTCGACATCGGTTATGCGGACGTAATATAGAAATTACCGAGTTCTGCAGTGCACTAGAGGATTGGAGCTCTGTGTTGGGCCGCCTCCTTGTTGCCAGTCCCTGATACAAAGGGACAGCAGGTGAGCAGGGCATCAGACGAATACAAAAGCCCCCGGAGGACTTATGCAGGTCCAGGTGACCACAGTATAGGAAGAGAATTTAGAAGGAGAGAGACAGGGCACCTAAGTGTCGCCTCAGATTGCTGGGCCTCACTATACAAGTTTCCCTGTGATAGTGAGTGCTGTGGATCTAAGGAGAGATACAGTGTTCCCTAATCACCATTTGTGGCTGTAAGGAAACCACGAGGAGGCAATGGCAAAAACAAAATTTCTGTAACAAGAGTTATTGAATTTTGTCATTTGCTTTAAAAGGGTGATGTCAGTTGTGGATCTCAGCGCGAATGACCAGGGTCGCTCAAATGACACGGTGGCACTCTTCACTCTTGGCACTAACGTCACTTTGTCAGCATAGAATAGGCGATGGTGGGAGCAATATTACGTAGAATGTCAACAGATTTAAATAAACCGTTTTCCTGCCTCACATGTAGCAGCTGTCCAAATGGGGCGGAGCTTAAGTGACGTCACCCGGAAGTTGTCAGAGCAAGATAATCAAGATATAGAAATTGTTTTCAATTGCGGATTTTTTTTTATTATTTTTTTTTTTTTGTTTTTTTTTTGTCAGTATCACTATTGCGGATTTTGTTTTTCTATTCATTATCAGTATCACTCTCAGATGTGCAACAAAATATCAACACTTTTGTTTAAACTTCCGAAGCCATTTTTGTTACACTGAAGCTTGCAAAAAAAAAAAAAAAAAAAAAAAAAAAATTTTTTTTTTTTTTTTTTTTTTTAATAACGGGTCCGTCAACATTCATTTCCAGGATAATAATAATAATAAAATGGATATCTTTTTTTTTTTCAAATTTCCCGCCGATGCTGTGACGTCCGCGAAAGAAATAGCACGAAATTAATACAAAGAAATAGCACGAAATTAATACAAAGAAATAGCACGAAATTAATACAAAGAAATAGCACGAAATAAATACAAAGCACGAAATTAATAGCAAAGAAATAGCACGAAGTTAATACAAAGAAACGAACAAAGAAATAGCACGAAATTACAAGAAATAGCACGAAATTAATACAAAGAAATAGCACGAAATTAATACAAAGAAATAGCACGAAATTAATTAATACAAAGAAATAGCACGAAATTAATACAAAGAAATAGCACGAAATTAATACATTTCACATTCACAAACAATCATTCACAAAACAATAATAAATGATTCACCAAAATAATCTCATGCGCCATGTCATGTCTATTGTATATTTTATTTTTTAATTTTGATTTCCAAAATTCAAAATTCTGGTTGAAAGAATTTTTTGTCTGTTTTCCTTCAACTCAAAGACAGAATTCTAGGAAGACAGAATTCCACTTCCTGCAGGTGGGTCTGGAAGTCCTTTATTAAGTCTGGAAGTTATTATTTATTAAGTCTGGAAAAAAGTTATTATTTATTATTTATTAAGTCTGGAAAAAAGTTATTATTTATTATTTATTAAGTCTGGAAAAAAGTTATTATTTATTATTTATTAAGTGGAAAAAAGTTATTTTTTTATTATTAAGTCTGGAAAAAAGTTATTATTTATTATTTATTAAGTCTGGAAAAAAGTTATTATTTATTATTTATTAAGTCTGGAAAAAGTTATTATTTATTTATTAAGTCTGGAAAAAAGTTATTATTTATTATTTATTAAGTCTGGAAAAAAGTTATTATTTATTATTTATTAAGTCTGGAAAAAAGTTATTATTTATTATTTATTAAGTCTGGAAGTCTGTGGGTCACAGTCCTTTATTTATGGTCTTTAGAAAAAAGGAATTTACACTTGTCTTTTCATGGTACTGGGGATTTTATTATTATTATTATTATTTTTTTTTTATCCCTCCCTCCGACATTCCATTATCACCAGACTTGCCCTCTATTCAAAAAAAAAAAAAAAAAAAAAAAAAAAAAAAAAAAAAAATAAATAAATAAAAAATAAATAAAATAAAATAAAATAAAATAAAAATTGGTGTGGCCTGAGTTGCCAAACACCTCAATGGGGAAGTTCTCTGAGTATTTCTAGTTATTATTGTTAATCTGATTTGAATTATAATGATACTGATGATAAAGATATTGTTGATGATGGTAATGACAATGCTAATGATGATTATATTATATCATCATTATTATTGATAATATCATTATAATTAATATTATTTTGTTTTCATTACTCTTATCATGATTTGGCCATTATCATTGTTAATATCATTATTGTTATTATAATATATTTTTTCTCTCATCACTATTTTAGCACTATCATCATTTTTATTGTCATTATCAACTTTATTCTCAGTTATCATCATTGTTATTAGCAATATAATTTTCCTTATCATCCTTATCATTTTATATCAGTTAATGAAGATGAAAATTAATAAACCACAATTAATGATAATAATCTTTCTTATATCACTGCTTTCACTATTACCATTACTGCCGCTGATACTGTCCATCTATTTATTTTATTTCTATTTATCTATTTATTTCTATTTATCTGTTTATTTTACTCGTTCGTTTGTTAAGAGAAAAAAAAAACGGGCCCATTTTGGAGGCTCCTTCATCTCCCTCTTTTATCCCTTCTTTTCTATTTATCCTTTTCGTTGTTTTCTTTCATATCTGAACATGCTTTAAGAATATCACAAGGAGTTCACTGGTTATTGTGCATTGTTTGCAATACAGTAAATAGTTCACACACACTTCGCAGAGAGAGAGAGAAAGAGAAAAAG